TTTTGAACTACAATACGGCCGTATTGAATTCAGTACGGCCGTATTGAAGTTCAAAAAACCTCAATACGGCCGTATTGAGTTCAGTGCGGCCGTATTGAAGTTCAGAAACTTCAATACGGCCGTATTGAGTTCAGTGCGGCCGTATTGTAGTTCAAAATGTTCAATACGGCCGTACTGAACTTTTGGGAGGCCGTATTGGGCTTCATTCCCTCCACTTCCTTATTTTGAGCTATTATAAGACCTCTAGACCTACAGAGAATCCTCCTAGGGCCTTCCATGAGTCCTTCTGGCTGACTTTCCTTTGGTCTTCGAGAGTCTTCGAGTCTTATTTCCGACCCGGACAATTTTAGGGGTCTACAACTACAAATATACGAATAAATATTGCCCCCGCTATCTAAATTTTTTGGATCCATCACTGCCCGTATTACTTGTGTCAGATGTGGTATGGCCTTGGCATAGTGTTAATTGTAAGATTTGTGTGGATTGGGATGGATTGACGTAATTATGAATTGAGATGTGAAGATGATGAATGATTGATAAATTATGATATATATAAATGCTTGTAAATATTTTATTAAGTAATGAGTTATGATGAGATTACATTGTGGTGTGTTTGTATGTGCTTTGCATATAGATATTTTCTGTAATGCCTTAATGTAACGCCCAATTTATATAATAATAATTATATATTTTCTTATATAATATTTTCGCAATTATATCATTAACAATATTGATTTATTTATTGAAGATAAAGATAAAGAAACAGAATATTTTGTGAATTTAATACGTGACATATCATTCTAAAATATTTACAATAATGCATTATTTTACACAATATTTTGAGAAATTAATTACACAATATTTACATTGATAGTAGGAATAAATTTACAATAACAAATAAAATTATATTAGATTCCTCAAATAGCCTCCACATTCCAATTCTTTCCAAGGAAGACAACAACTATAACAACTGCAAAATAATCTGGAATCCCAAGTAGATCCATCTATTTTATAATATATTTAATTTAAAAAAAAAAGAAGAGTAAGAACAATGTCCAATAAATACAAGAATTCAAAAGAATACATAAAATTATTTATAATTAATATTAAACATATATATATATATATATATATA